GTGAAGAGGTCACTCCAAGAAGGCAATGGGTCGAAAGTCGTGTAGGAGCCTTAATAATTAGAATAGGGTTTTGGGTGTTCCTTTAAAAGGGTTTCCGTAAAGGTTTCTAATGGGGCTACTATAAGGGTTTAGGTTTAGGAGCCTTAATAATTAGAATAGGGTTTTTGGGCCTATTATACTAAATGTTTTGTAAGGAACCCCCAAAATAGTATAGGCAAAATTATTTAGGCCCCTACATTCACCTTTAACCCCGAAAGTGGCCTGTCAGGAGCTGCTGCACCTGCTGCAGCTGCAACATCTGCAGCTGCTGCTGCTGCCTGGTGTGCAGAGGGTTTTGAGCTGTAGCGTTCAGGGTTTAAGGTTAAGGCTTGGGCTAGGGCTTTGGGATTAGAGTCTAGGTTTTAGGGTTTAGGGTTAGGGAGCTGGAAAGTGCACCAAAGATTCCCGTCCTGTCGGGATCCGTGTTTCGGTGGATGGGCGTCAGAGCATCTTGAAAAGAGTACCAATATCGGGGCTTTAATACATCAGGTTTTTGATGTATATAGTAGTCTGAGTAGAAAAAAACCTAAAGAAAGAACATTACTAATGATCCAGGCTTCTATAGTAGCGACAAGGCCGAGGTCATCGAACCTACAGTCGCAGGGAGAACAATCTGGGGATTCGAAACCTTCCTCACACAGACACACACCAAACCCCTAAACCCTTAACCCTGTACAAAATGCCCCGAAACCCTAAACCAGAATCCTAGACTCTCGGGCAGCCAGTGGCTCCAGGAAACACAACCTCACTGGCACAGAGCCCCGAGACAAAGAGCCGCTGATGGGGCATTAGGGGTGCTTTGGAATAGTTTCTTTTCGTTTCTACCAGAATCACACAAGGTCTACAGTGGATGCTATATGTAGCTCTTCAAACATTGCCCCTGAATTTTCATGCCTTCGACCCTCGGACTCCTTAGACCGTACTGGTAGCTTGGGTTTAGGATTCAAGGCCTTCACTCCCTCAAAGCACCTGCAGTCCCTCAAGCCTTAAACCAGTCCCAAAAATCTCTGCACCCGAACATATGGGCCGTAGTAAGTACAACAGGCTTTTGGGGTATACTCTACGATAAGGGGGGGTCCGACCCCTTTCTGAACGACAGCAACTGCCCAAGGCTCGGGCTGCAGCGCTTGCAGCGACTGCAAAGCCTCGCTTCGATTCTACAAGGGCGCTGTTGTCGGGCTTCGGGGTTTAGGGTTTAGGGTTTAGGATTTAGGGTTTAGGTTTAGAACAATAGCGCCGTCTGAGCTTTGGGGTGTTGGGTCAGTGTTGAGGCTGAGCGCTTCGGGCCTGACGACTCAGCAACGAAACCCTAAACCCTAAACCCCTGAACCCCTGAACCCTAAACCCTAAACCCTAAACCCTAAACCCTAAACCCTAAACCCCTGAACCCTAAACCCTAAACAACACTTTAGCAGTGGAGGCTTGAGAGGTTGAGCTCAAGGCTTTGATATAGAGACCCTCATCTAGGCTAGGACAGTTGGCAAGCTTTGGGATACGTGGTACTACAACCATATCGGGAAGTATAAGGGGATGACATTATTCTATCATTATACTGACTACCCTCTCTCTCTCTCTCTGCACGATGCCTGCCCGAGGCTGAGCTTTGCCCAGCCCGCGTGAGAGAACTGAAATAGCTCACATGGAAGTCACAAGCCCCCGAGTCCATAGAACCATATCGGCTTTCGAACTGAAGGTAATGCCAAACCCCGCACCGACGCTGCTTTGGCAGTAGCCGATGATCTGTTCGATGACGTCAAGATTATGACTCCAAGTATGACCCATGCTAGTCGAGAGGAGCTTGGTTGCAAATAACCCCCCAAATTACTCTGAAACATTTTCAGGTGGGTAGTTACTGTAAAAGGAGCCTGAAAGAAGCTCTATATACCTTATGGAAGCCTTATAGAAGCCCTATATACCCTAAACTCCCCACGTTTGGTTTCCTTTAAATCACGGTACTTATGTTTGCACCCTGTAGTATGTAGAGCTGTAGGCCCGCACACGCCTCAAAACTCAAATCCCCAAATAAGTCCGACGATGAGAACCTCATAATACAAGCCTGGAGCGCATCGAAAATACCGAAACCCAAACCACCCCGACCCCAAAAAACACCTAAACCTCTAGATCCCCAAACCCCTAAATCCCTAAGCCCAAAACCCTGAAACTGAAGGGGCCTATGGAGAAAGCCAGTTTTCCGCACCCCACCCGACCCGCCCTAATCCCTTATAGAACTCTTAAAAGATGCCGAAAGACCATGTAAAGGAGCCCTTTAAGGAACCCAGAAGGAATCCTTGAAGGAGCCCTTACCGGAAAACCCAATGCCCTTGAAGGAACCCGCCGATTCTTGAACCAACCCTGAGTAGCTTCCGCTGCCTGCAGCAATGGCTGCGGCGTCGCCCCGAGACCCTGTCGTCTAGGGTTTAAGGGTTGCGGGTTTAGGGCTTGGGGGTGTAAGGTTTAGGGTTGAAAGTTTAAGTGGGCTTGGTCATACAGCTCACGATGACGGTGCTGCACGCGTTTTAGGTTGAAGGTCATAGGAAAGAAAACTGTGTTTTGAGGCGATGATGTACTTCATGCTGATGGGTCTTCGTTGCTGGGTGTGCCCGTGTATGTAAACCGCATGTAGCAATACATGCATATTGGTCGATTCAGGTAGATAGATGGATAGATAGATACATA